AAACTGAATTGAATTTAATGAAATCTCTCTCTCATATACACATGGATGCTGTAGATAAAGTGGCAGTTAACATATTGATCTACATCAATATTATTGTACAGTATGTGGATCAATAAGTCTTTCCAACTTTCCAGAGAACAGCATGTGGATATACCGTCCACTAACATGCTGCTCGGTCAGCTATAGTCTCTTTCACCTGACTTTTTGAGTTAACATTGGAGCTGCTGCTTGCGTAGCGGAATGTGACTTGTTTGATCATTCTTATCAATGAAGACATAGATAACCCAATCATCCTGAAAAAAGACAACAAATAATGAGGGAACTTTGACTCCACTTCCATATAATGGAGGTCTGGGACTGTAATGGCCAGAGAAGAGGGGTCATTTGAAGACAAATCATTCTGAGTTTAGATAATCCTTTGTTTTCCTGTTGAGATACCCAGCAGGGCTACACTGGGTTTATTTGAGAAAGCCTACCATATATTTTATGGCAGAGGTAACCAATTAAAAATCAGCGGGGTCCGAATAAAGAAAATCAACAACCAGGAAAGGTCCAGAGACATTTTTTATTATAATCTGTTACTTTAAACAGAATTTTAACACCTAAATAAAATGAGGTTTTTATGCATCCATGTTATACATTGAATTTTTTATTAAACATAAAAAAAATTTGAAACAAAAGATAAAATTTTTCCATTTTAAAATTTAAAGTGTTTTGTGAAGTAGAGAAAAACAATCATTAAGTTTGCTATTTAAACAATTTCCTGATTCACACATTTCATAAAACATCTGAACTTGTTTTCCGTTTTCTTTCTTTTTTTTATGGTTTAATGAGAGCAGTGAGCTTTAAGCTGCCCTGCAAGGCTTTAAACCTGGGTTTGAATGGAGACTAAGCCATTCTAAAGCACATATCAAGGAGCTCATTTTGAGCCTGGATACATATTTATTTTTGATTCTGTTCATGGTGGATAATCCTGCTTCACAGCAGCAGGTTCAGCCAAACATCCTCTGAATGTGCAGGGTCATCTTTGAGCACCATTTCACTTTTCTTTCACCAGTTCACCACAGTTCTTCCAGCAGTCCACACTTTCTCTGCTCTCTTTTTCTCATCATCTTCTCCTTCTTTCCCATCGCCCGGCTTGCCACAGGTTTGCCTGCTGTGTCTAAAAGTAGCAGCAGCAGCAACCCAGACTGACAGCAGCTCATTGGATCATTTGGATCACATGTAGCCTGGTGCCGGACGCTCCAGAGGGCTCTACCGTATTAACAGGAGAAGTGGTGCAAGTGAAATTAGACACTGTGATCGGACAACATGCAGTAATTTATAAATGTTTTAAATCAGGTTGGGTCTGGATTAGCCAGCAGGTGGGTCCGGATCAGGGCCGCGGTCCTCTGATTTATGCAAAACGAAAAGATCAACAGATAAAGTCCCTTTTGATCGGCCAATACTGAAATACTGTAAGAACATTTCGCCTAATGGAACAGTCTATCTCTAGTAAAATGTCCTAGTATTTTCTAATCTGGGTTCCAGGGCATCCAAGTGTGACTGCTTAAACCATTATACACCCACTGCCTAATCTGTCAGTGAACATGAGATATTTTCTTTATGCATATCACCTATTTCACCTCTAACTGACCTATTATATTAAGCATTTTGTCAGAAAGCTACTCTTACAGTATCTGATGAAAACACATGGTTCCGGGTTTCAGTCACGTGACGATTATGACGCGGCCAGGGGGCGCGATTTCAGATGGAGGGCAGGAAGTCTATGAAGTTAGTGTAAACATGGAGGATACCGTTACCAAGAGCCCGTATTGTATGGAGTTAGAGCCTGTTTCAAGACACAGATACAAGGAGTTGATATACAGATATGTTGGACGTGACCCGTACCTCATGAAGATGAGGGAGTTTTCGGTGGACCTTAAAGATTTGCCGACAGTGGAGGCCGTCGACATAACGAACTATCTGGTCCTTCAGACGTCGTATTACACCAAACAGCAAATGAAGGCCTATAAATGTATGAAGGCATATAACTTCTTTGTCAGCGGGTGGGTCCACAACCTCGGCACCAAACGTCTCCACAACGATTATTGTCTAGTCTTCGCCAGGGTTAGTGTTTGTTCTTATATTGTTTTATGTGTTAAAAGATGCTAGCGTTAGCAGTAGCGGCTAGCCTCACAGTTGTTTATGTTTCTCTCGTTGAAGAGATGCTTCTGATTTGGGCTTAGTTTTTTGATAACCGGGGTTGACCGTCGGAGCCCAGTCTACCGATTCAACGTCACCCAAAGCGCTAGGACAGCATAAACAGTCACAATGAAGTCCATATTAGACTACCGGTAACTTATTAATCATTACTAAGTACATGAGCATTTAACGATAACCTTATGCTATATAAACACAACCACAAAAAAAAGTTAGCTAGCTAACATAACGTTATAGCTTACCTCCGACGAAGTGGTCACTGCAGACACGGGCATTGGCAGACTCTGCTCCTTCAGATCGCAGACGTAGAATCCATTTTTTTCGGCGTTGTTCTGTGAGCTTTTTACAATTTTCACCTTTATGGACGACAATCTTTGGTACTCTGTAAAAGCTCTTTTCCTTTTCTCGGTTAGAACGATTGGAGCAGCCGTAAACTACACAAAACATAGGCATTATTTCAGACGGCAGATCCTCAGCTACTTCACTTCCTGCCCTCCATCTGAGTTTCGCGGGCTCGTGACGCAGCACTGTGACGTCACGTGAAACCAAGCTATTAGAGCTAAAATATTTAATTGGATTAATCATGAGCAGGATTGTTATAATAATTGTCAACTAATTCAGTAATCGATTAATCTCACAAAAAGAACCGCCTAAATGACTGATATTATATATAATTAACATTATAAACATTTCTCAACAGTCATATGTGTCCTGAAGCCTGTATATGAGCTTCACAAATGAAAAAAAAACTTTCACCTACATAATTGCGTTTCTCCACTTCTTAATCAATAAATGCTCAAATGGATCTGTTTGAAAAGCATTCCCCTTATGATGTCATAAGGGGATATAAGCTTAGTCAAGCTACAGCGTTTGTCTAATGCATGATTGCATGACTGATTGATTGATTCAATAATTTACTTTATTAATCTCACAGTGGAGAAATTTACCCTTTACAGCTTCTCAATAGTCAAAAAGCTCCTAGTTGCTATTTCAAAAACTCTGTTGTCATGGTTGCGGGTTGTCAGGGTGTGGCTTTCAGGGGGACGGGGCGAGAAAAGCCAAAAGAGCTCATCCAGAACAGGTCTGAATGAGATTTTTGGTACATGTTTTTCTGCCTAATCTAAAGCAGATAATTTTAAACATAGATTGTCAGATAAAATGGAAGCAGCTTATATCACAAGTTTGATTGAATAATACAAATTGTTTATGGTTATTCTTAAACAATTAAGCTTAAGCTTAAACTAATGTAAAATATTAAGGGTCTGAGCCAAACTGTTTCTGATTACTTTCTCACTCCCTTAAATGAAAATAATTAACATTCTATCCCTTACATTAGAATAGAATAGAATAGAATAGAATAGAATAGAATAGAATAGAATAGAATAGAATAGAATAGAATAGAATAGAATAGAATAGAATAGAATAGAATAGAAAATTCCTTTATTGTCCCATAATGAGGAAATTCTGGTGTTTATAGCAGCAAAAAGATTATAGGAAAAAAAAGTATAAGAATAACATAACAGTGAAGAGTTAAAAACAAACAAATGAAATCCTGTACTGAAAAGTGTTTTAACTTTATAAAAACTGTGCACCTGGAGAATAAATAACCAATATCCAGCTATGGACATTTTTACAGTAATGGATATTTGAAAATAGCAGCAACATCAGAGATGTGCAAAATGACAGCAGCATGTTATTTTACTGACTACGGTAGAAACTGTGCCAAATCTGCATGAATGTAACAACTTATATTCTCGTTATAACTGAAATATATCCAGTCACTACTGTATATATAATAGAGGCCGTCATAGACTAAAAGAGGAGAATAGGAGCACCGTTGTCGCACACACAACATCCCACTGTTAGGACTAAGCTACTTTAACATAACAATGACAATTTGACAGTACTGACAACAACTATGTATTCTGACAGACTGTTTGAATTTAGATATACAGTATATATATAAAAAAAAAAAAGTAAGAGGTAATAAAGCTCTGAGATCTTTGAGCCAGTGGTGAAGGCCAGCTTCCATATGTATCAACACATATGAGGGAGAAAGTGTGTTTAGTTTCAATAGTGGAAAACATGATCTGCATATTACTGAAATTTGGATGCACACTTTCTGAAAAGTAAAACAAAAGCATATTTTTTTCTTTTGTGTTGAACCTTGTGCTGACTTATCACATGAAATCCAGATAAAACAGAATGAGCAGGACTTCCAAGCATAGACTTCCACACCGGACTCCTGCTGCAGCTATCATATTAAGATAACCAGCAACTCATTCATGTCTCCATTTACATGCTCTTATCACATTTATCTTCTGTGTGAGCAGATTAGATTCAGATTGCTTTCCTGTTCTCCTCCTGTTTGTTTTTTTATTTCTCTCAGAGCATGAAGGACATTCCATCTGCTAATTAGTATGTAACCATGCAAAATAAAAATAAAAATACAGCAAAACAAAAAAAAAAAACAATAATGAGTCACCACTTCTCCAGTACACCGGTTTGATAATGCAAGCAGATGTGCTCACCAAAATGTCAGTTCAAAGTGCCCTCCAGGAAAACACTGAGCTCACCTGCTCAACAAGTACAGCTGAGACACCAACTGACTCATGCACTGCACATTGTCATAGCAGAATATTCTTATTTAGTAAAAACAAAAAATACAGCTTTTATATGGCTTACTTTGCTAGGCAACAATTAAAAGCTCATTTTGGACATTTTTACGCATTATACATCATCATAAAAGGAAAGCAGAATAGACAGGAGGAAAGGAAGAGGGGGTGACCTCTACTTACCCTGATATATCTGCAGGAAAATTCAGCTCCTTGTGAAGAGGACGGTGCTTCCCAGCCTGATGTCACAGCAGTATTTTCCTCCAAAACAGTTCGTCCCTCATGTAAAGCAAGCTCCTGAGTTCACTCACCTCTTTCTCTCTCTCTCTCTGTGGAAGAAGATGAATGAACCGCTGGGTCTCCCTTGCCAACACATTTACATAAGCCCCGCCTCCGCTGCGCGTTGGTTGGCCGCTGTGCTGCTCAGAGATGAGCTCCTTTCATCTGATTGGACAGAGAAGCTTTCAATTAGGACGGTAGCCCGGCCGCGCGCGTGCCACAGAGAAGAGAGAGAGCGAAAGCAACAGTGCGGAAAAATAATAATAAAAAAATACTTTTGTTTCTAATGACGGGATAGTTTCAAACCTCAGTTTTTTGAAAAATAAAATATACTGTAATATCGGAGAATGATATTAAACAAAGGAGTAATAGTTATGCAAAATGACCTTGGGACACTGAGAAAATAAGTAATGGCACCATTTAGAGGAGAGTGGGGTCTATGGAAGGCCGTTTCCGCCACTCTGTTAAAGAAAAAGTAAAAAAAATAAATTATTACATTAGAATGAGATACTATCTCATTGTTTTTAGTTACCATCTCATTATTATAAGATAGTAAGTCAAAACAATGAGATAGTATCTCATTATAATGACATAGTAAGTCAAAACCATGAGATAGTATTTCATTATAATGAGATAGTAAGTCAAAACCATGAGATAGTATCTCATTATAATGACATAGTAAGTCATTATAATGAGAGAGTAAGTCAAAACCATAAGATAGTATCTCATTATAATGAGATAGTAAGTCAAAACCATGAGATAGTATCTTATTATAATGAGATAGTATTTCATTATAATGAGATAGTAAGTCAAAACCATGAGATAGTATCTCATTATAATGACATAGTAAGTCAAAACCATAAGATAGTATTTCATTATAATGAGATAGTAAGTCAAAACCATAAGATAGTATCTCATTATAATGAGATACTATCTCATTATAATGAGATAGTAAGTCAAAACCATGAGATAGTATCTCATTATAATGAGATACTATCTCATTATAATGAGATAGTAAGTCAAAACCATGAGATAGTATCTCATTATATTGAGATAGTAAGTCAAAACCATGAGATAGTATCTTATTATAATGAGATAGTATCTCATTATTTTTGAGTTACTACCTCATTATAATGAGATAATTTATTTGAAATTCTTTTTTTTTATGGAGTGGCAGAAACGGGCCTCCATAGGGGACAGATGCAACAGTGGTCTGCAGGGGTCTAAAATAAAAAAGATAATTTTTTTAAGCATCATAGAACTAGAAGTACATAGAAGTATAGCCAGTGGTGGTTCTAGACCATATTGGGCCAATATGCTTTTATGGGGCACAGAACAGTAGAAAACATAAACAGAGCAGTAATCAATAAAAAAAATATACATTTTTTTTAAGCAACATAGAACTAGAAGTAGACAGACGTAGGTTAGTAAGGGTAATCTGTAATTAGCCTTTGTTCGTAGGGCGGGTCCTAATTTCAGCGTGCAAGGGCTGGCCCCCCTTAAATCATACCGGCCCCAACACTTACTCTCTGGCCGAAGCACCTACCTGTGACAGTAAATAACTCAAAGGAGCTCAAGAAGTAATACAATGTTATCTACCTAAACGATGCTTGCAGTATTTATAGCCCATCCTTGTTACACGCATCCTTGTGACGGTTGGCATGTGGTTTAATTTTCTGTTTCTTCAAACTGTAAAATTCTTGCAACAAACTAAATTATTATACAACTAAAATGCTTTCTTTAAACCAAACTACGATTTTCCTCTTATATTTGGCGAATTTATGTTAAAATATGTTGCGGTGCATGATGGGGTTTTGCATCTGGTTACATTATTTCATTTCATTGTCCACATGCCACCTAGACTGGCAGTGAATGCTTAAACATCGATGAGCTTTCTGCAACTGTGGGCTAGTCCATAAATGGACCGATGTAAAAGAAAAAATGCCAAGGCCGAAACTTATTCCCAATCTGAGCCTGGATAGAAGTATAGCCAGTGGCGGTTCTAGATCATACTGGGCCAGCATGTTTTCATGGGGCCACAAAAAAAGTATAAAACATAAACACTGCAGTAATTTATCATCTGAAATAAAAGATCCGCAGAACCAAAAAGGCAGATTTGGCTCTGCACTGAATGTCACTGAATTAAAACTCGTATTTACTTAAAATTAAAACAATCCCTCAACATTAAAAAGCAACAGAAATAAATAGTTGCTAAATAAATATCACCTAAAATAAAAGACAGCCATTCTGTGTGATTTAGGTAAATGTACATCACTAATTCAGGGTTATTGGTTATTTTGACCTATTTTAAATGAAAATGATCAGTTTTAATCAAATCAGAGATTTAGAAATGAGGTAAAACTGATCAATTGAGATGTATATCTTTTATTTGGTACAAATTAACCTTTAGCAGATGAAAACTGTGATCCAATTTCAAAATGACTGAAGTATAAATATTGCTAATGTAATGTGAAATGCTGCTAGATATTAAAGGAAGAGTGAAAAAATTTGAGTTTAAAACCGTGCACCACACAGTAACAACTGGAAGTTACACTTGTACTTTTCAGTTTTCTCTTTTTCCTGAAATCAATTTAATCTATCCACATTGAACGGTTTTCACAATTAGCATATTTAATTCAGCTTAAGAATACAAAATGATGGTTGGACATTCTCCTATAAAACAAAGTTGCTTGGCATTTTAAAATCTGTTATATTTTGGAGCCACTGAGAGGAAGACTTGCTGTGCATACTTTAAGTCATTGTCATTCTGCACATCTTAAGAGTGGTTAAGTATAAAGTTCTTGATCTGATGATGGAATATTCTCCTAAAGGATTTTCTTTTGGAAAGTAGAACTTGTGATTCTATCAATCACTGTAAGTAATTCAGGTGCTGAAGTGGAAAAGGAGCACCACACATCACACCATCACCAGAATGTTTGATTGCCTTTATGCAGGTCTTTTTTCTAAAATGCTCTATTACTTTTGAACTAGAAATAACGGGATACTCTCTTTTTGAAGTTTTCACTTTTGCCATATCAAGCAACAGATAATTTTTCCAAAAACTCTCATGCATCATTAAGTATTTTTTTTATGAAATTTTAAACTACAGTTTAAAGCTAGAAAGGGTATTGTATATATAGACATATTGTTCACCAGTCCCTGAACCCAGCACCTTAACCTGGCAGAAGAGTTTCAGCCCTAAATGCCCCTGGTAGGGTCTTCCAAGGCAAACAGGCTTTTATGATGTGTCAGAAAGTTACCAGAAATTCAACACAATCGACTTCACCCAGTATGGCAGAGCTAGGACTTCACCCTGGAGCCAGGCCTGTGGGTTGGGTTTGTGTTTGAGGGACTTGTTGTCTTTCCTTTGCCCCAGCTGGGCAAAGCCCAAGGAAATTATGTAAAGCTATCCCACAGTGACTCCACCACCTGCAGGGGAACCATGAGGGACAGTGCCAAGACTAATGGGTCAAATGCAAAGGTGACCTGATGTACAGATTCTTGAACTGGCTCTTGGGATTAAGAATCTTACCTTGCTGGAGTGATAAAGTCTGAGCTTGTGTTAGGGGTGAAGTGATACTGGCTAAAAAAAGTCAGGCTAACCTCCACACATAACCAGATACTTAGAACCCATCCTTGAGAGAGGCTGGACTCTTCTACTCTGGAGTGGCCCTGAAGACGCAGAGGGCCGAGGTTGGTCTGATTGTCTACACTAACGTAGCTGTTTCATCTTGGACTTCAACCGAGAGTATGAGAAGGTCGCATCCCTGCACCTTTGCTTAGGGGGAGTTTTCTGACTGTTGTCTTGATCAGTGGTCCAAGTGGTGGTTCAGAATACTTCTGAGGATTCCATCATTTTGCTGAGGGGCCCAAATACCAGTGTGCTAATTGACTGGGACACCAACATGAGTGTGATGAGGGGGAATGGACACCATACCCTGAACCTGAGAGCTGTTTCATTACTGGACTTATGTGAAAGTCGTGAATTGTCCAAAATGATTACCATGTTCATGAATAAGGATGTTCATCAGTGCACTTCTTCCATCAGGACACTTTAGGTCAGAGGACATTGATTAATTTTTAGCTTTTATCATTCATCCTTTTGCCACACTAGGGTGAGGAGGAGATGTAGCTAACCAACGATCACCACCTGATGGTGAGTTGGATACGCTGGAAGAGGAGGAAGCGGGACATACTCAATAGACCCAAGCAAGTAGTGATGGCATGCTGGAGACATCTGGCAAGGCCCTCAAGCAGGGACATATTCAAGTACCACCTACGGAAGAGCTTCTCTCTGATTCTGGTTAAGGCTGATGGTGTCTGAGTGGACGATGCTGTTTGCCTCTGTTGTCAATACAGCCACCCATAACTGAACCCAGTGTTGGACACCAACAGTAAATGATGCTGCCAAGCTGAAGATGTGTCCCGTTGAGGCTGGTTGGCTTTGAGGAATTCCTGAGGTAGGAAGCAGATATTGTGAGGCCATTGGAAAGGCTTTGACCTGTTCTACATTTTGAACAGCTCGTTGTGGTAATACTCCTAAAAAGAGGCTACAGTCATCTATGGTTTGCTTGGCCTTTGATTGCTTGAAAACCTGGGAAGAGGGCAGGTGTGACTATTCCACAGGGTAAAAGTTGATATTAGGATGGATTACAAGATACTGTAGGTAACTGTAGGTGTAACTAAGAATTAGGCTGGGCATACACTGTACCATTTCTTGCACTTTTTGGGCCAATTTTCCAGTCGTACAAGAATTTTTTCAAACGGGCCAAGTTTCAGCCTCATCACGCGTCCTGCGTCGTGTAGTATTCAGGGGGTAATGAGTGATGATCAGCGACTAACGACCACCTCACGATCAGGAATCGTAAGGTCAGGAGAAAATCAAACATGTTTGAAATTTGGTGGGCTCTAGTAAGGTGTTCGTGAGCAAATACCAGAGCCTCATGCATGCGGCAACTGCAAACAAGGGAGTTCTTCTTCTTTCAGATTGAGGAGTCCACCCAGCGCCATCTCTCGGCGCCAAGTAGGTGTGTTGTTTTTGGATGTGCAGTGTGAGAATTTAGACT